GGACGGACTCGTCGTGCGCTTGCCCAGTATGACGCGGAACCTGCAGGCCAGCGACTTTGCGGACAAGATTTGAATAAATAATGTATCAATGAGGGGACAGCTGGGTGGTATGCTTGGACATGCATGGTTGCGGATTTGTCTCTATGGTCCAAACACGGCGGAAAGGAAAAGCTTTGGAATTGCGCAGGCGTTTGGTTGATTCCACGTCATGGATGATTGTACTATATTAGCATGTAGGCGTCTGGCAAGCTACTCTCCATGTACAAACAAATAAATCATTTGGCGGAGCGGACTGGACAGCGGAATGCGGAGTCGGAGCCAAATGGCCGAAGGCGGTGAAGGCGCTACTGCGGGTCGACGGCCCTTCGTACATTTGGCCTTGAGAGCTGGCCCTCCAGCGCCCTTCAAGCTCCAACAACACCGCGACATGCCCCGCTGCTGAAACCACTTGCCCTCTCAACTCCGCCGTCGCCACCTCTATCGATTCACTTGCTGCCGCCATGGCGTCGGCCGTCTTCTTTCTGGATCTCAAGGGCAAGGTCAGCCATCACTTGACCGTCATCTCAGGAGTTGCAGCGCTCACGTCTCGCGCAGACCCTTCTTGCCCGCAACTACAGAGGAGACATTCCCATGTCCGCCGTCGAGAAATTTCCAGTCTTGCTCAGCGAGGCCGAAGAAGAGAGTTCCGCAGTCCCTCCGTGCTTCTCATCCGAAGGCATCAACGTCAGTGTTGGCCAACTCCTACAAAGAATTCGGTCTCTGACGGCCGCTCCAGTACCTCTACATCAGACATAGCAACCTGTACTTACTCGCCCTGACGAAGCGCAATTCCAATGCCGCTGAGATCCTGCTATTCCTCCACAAGATCGTTGAAGTCTTCACCGAGTATTTCAAAGAGCTGGAAGAGGAGAGCATAAGAGACAACTTTGTTGTCATTTACGAGCTGCTTGACGAGATGATGGACTTTGGATACCCTCAGACGACGGAGAGCAAGATATTACAAGAGTGCGTCTTTTGCAGGTCGTCGCAGACTTGCGCTGACACATTCCAGGTACATTACGCAGGAATCGCACAAGCTCGAAGTCCAGGCGCGTCCTCCTATTGCCGTCACCAACGCAGTATCCTGGCGCAGCGAAGGAATCCGTTACCGGAAAAACGAAGTCTTCCTCGACGTTGTCGAATCGCTCAACCTGCTCGTGTCTTCCAACGGCAACGTCTTGCGCTCAGAAATTCTTGGTGCTATCAAGATGAAGTGCTACCTTTCGGGCATGCCGGAATTGCGGCTTGGCTTGAACGACAAGGTCATGTTTGAGACGACTGGAAGAGCTACAAGAGGCAAGGCGGTCGAGATGGAGGATGTCAAATTCCACCAGTGCGTGAGACTGAGTAGATTCGAAAACGACCGCACCATCAGCTTCATCCCGCCGGACGGAGAATTCGAGTTGATGAGCTACCGTCTCAACACACAAGTCAAGCCACTGATCTGGGTCGAGTGCGTGGTCGAGAGCCACTCGGGCAGCAGGATAGAATATATGCTCAAGGTTCGTGCCGGAATATGAGGTCATGATTATTAACTAACAGAAGCAGGCCAAAGCACAATTCAAGCGCCGTAGCACAGCCAACAACGTGCAAATCATCATCCCAGTCCCAGACGACGCCGATTCCCCACGATTCCGGACCAACATTGGCACGGTTCACTACGCGCCCGAGTCTTCGTCGATTGTGTGGAAGATTAAACAGTTCGGTGGTGGTAAAGAGTTCCTCATGCGGGCGGAACTGGGTCTGCCATCGGTGCGCGGCGACGACGAAAAGGGAGGTGGAATGATGGGTGGGTTCGGTGGAAGCATGGGCGGCGTTGGCGCTGGAAAGAGCAAGAGGCCGATCAACGTCAAGTTCGAGATTCCGTATTTCACTACGAGTGGAATTCAGGTGCGGTACCTGAAGATTATCGAGCCCAAGGTTTGTTCCTCTTTCGTTCTCGACCCAAAGTCATGGCTGACCCGGACTAGCTCCAATACCCGTCGCTTCCTTGGGTGCGCTACATTACGCAGTCGGGCGACATTGCAGTGCGGCTGCCAGATGTGCAGTAGAAGTGCGCGACAGAGGACTGGCGTTAAAGGCACAAACGACTGACGCTCTTGACTGATGTCGTTTGGGAGGGGTTTCTTCTTCAAAATCAATGAATGCGCTGCATGCATGCATTGCTGCGGAGCTAGAGCTTTGGAGCTGGCTGCGTTGGCCGGCTGTATTTACAAGGCGTTGATACGATAATACCACGAACCATCAATTCATTCTAACAGCGTGAAGAGTAGGGGCTTGATGTCAAGCGCCTTGTGATATATCGGTGGGTGACCATTGAATGCTTCCTTTCGTGCCTCCTCCAGAACGAAACCCTTTCCCGTCTTATTCATACGAGTCTCACTGCGTACAAATCATTCAATCAGGCAAGGCCTTCCACTGACAACTTACAAGAAAGCACCTCGTCCATTTCAAATTCAGTCCAACTTTAAAAGTGGTCTTGGGGTTGGCTAGTGTAGCAAAGCCCACGCAACCACCTATTCACTTCTCCAACCACTGCCACCACTACCAAAAATCCCAAAATCACTGACAAACCTCCATCCCTTACAAAAGTGTGAAAGGACGTCATCACTCCCTCGGACTCTGCCCTTGAGGGAGACTTGAACATTTGATAACTTGGAAGAGACAGGAGAGGGTCTAGTCCAGAGATCTAGGAGATTGCAATATCTACATTTTCAAATGACACGAGACGATGCTCCATGTCTTGGTATCTTTTGCCCAAAAACGCCGTGCCATGCCATGCCTTGCTTCCATGCGATCAATCCAGCCCAGAGCGGAGAAAAGTACGAGTACAGCCGTCCGCCAATCCCGCCGTCTACCATTTTCGCCAGCACCCAAAACCCACGCCCAAACAAATGGTCAACAGCAATGCCAATCAGATGACGGGCTTCTTTACCTCATCCTCGGGCATCTTCATATACGAATCAATAGCGGCCGAGAAGGCGGCGAAGCCCGCACAGCCAACCAGCGTCGCCTGCGGACCGGCCTTCATGGCCAGCGCGCCGCCCGTGATGCAGCCGGCGGCGACGCCGTTGTAGAGGTCGTTCTTGGCGCGCAGGCCCTCGATGGCGCACTCGGTGCCGGCAAAGACGGCGCCGATGATGCCGAAGTTCTTGCCCGACGACAGCGACGCCCGCCCCATTTCGCGGAACCCTTGTCGCAGCTGCTGTGCGAGGGGCAGCTTGGTGATTTCGGCGCCTTGCGCCGAGAGCGGCGTGTCGTAGCGCATCTGGTGCGTGTGTTAGGTGCGTGTGGAGGGAGAGCGTGGAGGGGATGACGGGGACACGTACGGATGACATGAAGAGGCCGAAGAGCGCGCCCATGCCGGCGCCCGCGACGCCGGACATGATGGTCTTGACCCAGCAGGACTCCATGCCGGCTTGCATCTGTGCGCGTCTTCGCGTTAGCTTGTCTCGTTCTTGCAGCTCGATCCTCGAATGATTGAAATGGCAAATGCCGGTGGAAGTGTTCTTCCAGTCCAAGCTCTTGCTTGCTTTGTATGTGCCGTCTAATTGTGGCGTGAGGTTGTCGCAGAACGTACCGCCTTCATAGCTGCAACTTCTTGCTCGCTCATGCCTTGAGTGTCTTGCCCACCACCAAAGCCCATGCCAGGCCGACCGCCCGGCAGCGCGCCACCGAGACCGCTCATTGTCCGAGGTTCGAGGGAGAAGGGTAAGTTTCGGGAGATTGGAGCAGGGGAAAGAGCTCAATAATGTGGAGGATTCGAGCGCGAGAGTTGACAGTTGCGGCGCGGTTATCCGCTGGTCGGTGATGAAGTTTCGGTGCACGGATCATTCAAACTGGCGGAGCGGGGCGGGATGGGGAACGCTCAGGCAGCCGTGGCGGAGCGGAACCGGGAATGCGCGGGGAGCGGACCGACGGGTGACGGGCGTTACATAGTGCGTGCGGCATTCATTCAACTCAACAAACAACTGGACTCAGCCCACGACTTTCTGTTTCTTTGTGCTCGCACTCCTCTTTCAATCGCACTCTTCCTCGCCCGGATAGCCCGTCATCAACCCATCCTCGCAGTCAGCCCGCCGTCTCCGTCCCAAGTCCACCTGAGATTGCGCTCAAGGCAACCAAGAACGACATGATCGTAACAACGATGGCTCCCGCCCTCCCCTGGGCCACCATCATGAGCATCGCCCTTACCGTTGTGCGCGCCGTCTTCTTCGACATGCTGGTCATGCCGCTGGTCAACCTGTCGCGCCTGTTTTGGCTCTGCTACGGCTTAGACGATGAGGTCGTCGTGACCGTCTTCAAGTCACCGGATCCACTGCTGCGCCTGGCGGTGCCTGGCCACGACCCTTGTGCCGTCGGCTGCTGATTCCCGGTCGCAAAGAAGCGTCCCCCTTGTACGAGATTCCTTGAGGTTGCAAAGTCCCCGACAGCGTTGCGCCGGACACAGGCACCTCGACGAAGCCCGCCGGCTCCATGCAAGCTTCGGCCAGCCTTTTTGTCCAGCTTACCGGTATCATCTACGGGTTTATTGCAAGTACAAATATTAAGTCTTAAAAATCAATTTCAGGCTTTGCAATGGGTGAGTTGTTAATAGCCCACCGCTCGCATAGAATAAATGCATTGGTCTCTACGCACTTCAGCTGGCTGACTTTCTTGGCAGAGACCGTGAATCATCAGCAGCCTGTGGCAGCATTCTCAATTATTCCGGGACCTGGCATGAGACCGAGGACATGTACTTGACTCGCAACCACCATTATGACTAGGCAACGCGGTATGCATCCCAACCAATCGACGCAGCACCGTCCATACCGAACCATCTGGAGACCTGCCAGTCACGTCTCAACCCGTTACCCCGATTGACGAGGCTGGAGCTAGAAGAGAGCTAGGATCCTATTCTTCGTCATCCCAATCTGCACAATTGAAAAGCGTCAAACCTCAGGCCCGCGCAATGCATACTCGGTCTGTTAGCGCAATGGTAGCGCGTGCCCCTCCTAAGGGCAAGGTTGCGGGTTCGGTACGTTTACTCGGCTCCGCTGTCTCGCAGTGATTGCTAATTCTAACAATATCCAGAGTCCCGTGCGGATCGTGAAGATTGAGTGCCACTTGTTGGCCCGAATCTCCTTTTTTGCCGGGTCTGTTCAAGATCTTTTTTGGGGTCTTCAATTCCTGTGGACTTTAGTTGCACAAGAAGTCAGCATTTTTCTGTAAATGCCAGTCCAAAGCGGTCAGTCGGGACCTAGATTTTTTTGTGTTTGGGCCCCTCTGACGTCGGTAGGTGGTGCGCTTACTGGGCCAATGAGCCAAAAGATGCGCATGGCTGAGCTCCACTCACCAAGAGCTCCAGACGTTTGAAGTTGGTATGTCGACCAATCAAACTGAAGGACTCTTTTATTATACTGACTTTCATTGAGTTGATTATTACCGGCATTGATTATGCTTCACTTTCTTCAGAATTCAAGTTTCCAGCAATCCAACGCTGTCGAATCCTTCTACTCACTGGCGTCTCAAGTCGCATCAACCCATCCGTCTGGGGATTCTTGTCAATGGAGTCGCACCATTCTACTGTACAGCACAAGCATCTTGGTGGAATACCAGGCGCCCGGCATCTGAACTGTACACGGTAGCCATTATCACCTAAGAGATTTCTACAGAGATCCAATCATCAATCATACGTCCCGGCACGCTACGGCCTTTGGCATTATGTTTTCTTGGTATACGCCCACTTCACTTGTCCCGACAATCTCTTCTCCAAAGATTTCCTTGTCGTAGTCGTAAGGAAATATCCAATGCAGAAAATACGCGTTGAAACATGCTGTCGCAGAGTCAGAATCTGCCATGCTAAATCGACTCCTTTCTGTCGATCCACTTACCCAAGCAGAATCCCACAACAAAGCTCAGATCCGACAAGTGCTGCGCATGAATACTGACTTTGATCGAAGGGTTCACGGAATTCAAAAAGCCAGGCAAGCTACACATGGTGCCTTCAATCAGCAACGGCACACTTCACCTCATGACAAGCCTTACCTTGGAACGACAGCGCAAATCCAGGCTACAGCCGTCCGCCAATTGATGCCGTAATGATACCAGTACAGGGAAGTCTTGTTGCCCGTGTAAAGATCTGTGACATGGAACTGCCTCTTCTGAATAATGTAAAAGTGGATACATAGCAAGCCGATGAAGGGCCCGAGGAAAACGGCGTACGCAGAGAGAACCGACAGAAATCTGCTCCAGGTTAGAGCCACGCACCCTCAAGACGTCCGCCAACTTACGTGGACCCAGAAGCCAGCTGCTGCCACGGATTCGGCGCCACACTGAGGATGGCGAGAATGTACGCGCCTCGGCGCAGGTTGATGTACTTGGGAAGAATGCTCGCCACGTCAAGACCGCCAGCCAAGACATTGCCTGGCACATTGATGGAAAGCTGGGAGATGATGAAGACGGTGGCCAAGAAGAATGTCGCCGCTCTTGCTCTCGAGCCGCCTTGGTCCTGCATCGATTTGAAAAGCGCACTCGGATCCCAAAGCGGCTCACCTTTGCCGTATTCTGCGCAAAACAATCAGCGTGGTCCTCCTTCAAAGGAACAATTGCTTACGCTCTTGCGTGGCAGCTGTCACAAGCACGCCGACAATGTGGGTGATGGCGCTGCTGACGTTGAACCCGATTCCTTGCGACCACGTTACCTGGCTCTTCCGTTTGGCAAACCGCGTATAGTCGTTCTGGTTCAGTATCCCCGCCGCGATGCTGCCAATAACGGACATGATTCCTGCGCACATTGCCCAACCAAGCTTTGACCCACTAATCGTCGCCGGAGCGTGCAGAACAGATCCATAACCCTTACTTGTTCCGCACGCCCAGCCAAGCAGACTCAGCATCGTCACAAGCACGAGGACGGAACCGACGTGGAAATAGGGGCGTAGCTGCTGGGGCTTGAACCAGATGAGCGCGCCGCAAAGCAAGTTGAAAAGTACGTAGCCCATAAACTGCGCCGTGGTGATGCCCGTCTTTTCGGGCAGCGTGTTGGGGATGCGGTCGTCGAGGTCGATCCAGATGGAGCGCAGGCAGATGTAGATCATTTTGCCGCCAATAACGGCTTGCACGCCGTACCAGACGACGGAGAGCAGAATGCGGTTGAGGATGGGGAAGTAGGCGCCCCACATGCCTGGATCAGCGTCTTAGCATTTGCGGTCCTGACCGTGGAGTGGACGTACCCCAGACGCTGCGAGACACGATTGGATATCCTAGGTGGCTTGTCGCGCCGGATATGGAGTTCAGCACCACGAAACAACTTGCGAAGAAGTCCCCAACGAGAATGACAATGATGGCTTGCCACCACGTCATGCCGACTGCCAGGAGCGAGGATCCGGTCTGGTAACTACTAATGTTCATGTTGACGAGAAACCAGAGTTCGACGTATTGGAAGACCCCTGAGATAGACGGTCAGTACGTTGACAAGTCTAGCCTTCATCAACAAAGATTCCTACCCCATGTCTGCTTCTCTGGAGGGACCGGCTCCAGGTCCTCGTTTGTCCAACGGTTGCCCTGCTGACTTTCCGGTAACTCGACCCATTTTAGAATCCTTCTTGCGACGCTCGCCATGTTGCAAACTGGCGTGGATGACAGAGAAAGGAGCTTGGAGACAGATAGCTAGGGAAGAGGAGAAGCAACTACATTTTGCTGCCACAAACGAGATACTCGCACACCGTCCTTATCTGGCACCAGCTATCATACCGCCCGACAGTCGAACCAATCGATAGACGACAAGCAAAGTGGCGGCGAAACTCTGCCCTGACGCTGAACAACTCTGTCGCGGAAAAAGCCGATGCGGGAATGTCCGCATCAAAAACACCGAAACAGGAAACAGAGTTCGCGCGGGCATGTAGGGCCAAGACCCTGCAGATCAATCCACCAAACGTAGAAAGACAGGAATCATTGGAGACAGCGTTGAGCAGTGGTGGGTGGGGAGCTAGGTAGGTTCCAGAAGTTGTATCGACCCCTCACTCCCTTGCGAGGAAATAGGGTTGGAGCTTGGCTGGGTTGATAACAGGCACAAGCCCCGCCTTTGTCGCCCCTCCTTCTCGAGATAGCATCGCGGCAGAGCATGCAGAGCAGACTCAACCAGGTAACGGGGCGCGGTGTTGCGGCAGCGTTGAGAGGGACGTGATTGCTGCGACGCGCCTCTGCACTCCTGTGGGCTTAAAAGACGTGCGCTTGACGTTTTGCGCTCTACTGCGCACGAGTCCTGCCTCAGGGGTTTAAGTTGGAAGTTTTTCAAGAGCTTGGAAAAGGTGCGGTTGATTACGGACAATGGCTGCCGACAAAGTCTTCAGGGTTGGCGTCGACGTCGGTATGTCTTACGCCGAGCTCTTGAATGTTGCCATTGACCGAATCTAACTTGTGCTAGGGGGGACCAACACGGACTGTGTCATTATTCGTACGTGGACCATCAACATGCAGTTTGCTGCGTGGAGAGGCCTGACCTTTGCAGACCCTGGAGAGTCGGATGCAGAGCACAGGGGTATCCGGAGCACGTTCAAATTCCCAACTACCCCTGATGTCACTAGCGGCATTGTCAACGCAATCGAAGGCGCCCTTTCCAAATGCGACGTCAAAAGGGACAGCATTTGCGCTGTTATTATTGGGACGACTGTAAGGCCTTTTCTGTCAGAGAAACCACATGCAGGGGCTAACTCGAGAGACCTAGCACTTTGTCAACGCGGTTGTCCAGGCAGACGACCGCAACCTGCGCAAAGTCGCCGTTCTCCGCGTATGTGGACCTTATACGCAGGAGAACCCGTCGTTTCTTGATTTTCCGCCAATTTTGGCGCGGATCATGAATGGCCACACGGCGTATCTGGATGGTGGTCTCGAATGTAATTTTCTCCCCAATCAGACGTGACCTTGGACCCGCGTTGACGCCTCCAGATGACGGACGAGAAATCCTGCCGATCAATGAAGAGCAGGTCCGCAAAGAATGCGAGGTTGTCAAAGAAAAGGGCATCGATGACATTGCCGTCATTGGCGTCTTTTCGCCCCTAGACACCGAGGGCACGCAGGAGGCGCGAGTGCGCCAGATTGTGCTGGAAGAGCTGCCACACGCGCACGTTGTCCTATCTCGCGACAGTAAGCCCCCCGTTCCCGTGTCCCAATCCTGCTTTCCTCACGAACATCCCTCACCGAACGCGCAGTCGGACAACTCGGCTACCTCGAGCGCGAAAACGCCACCATCCTTAACACTTCGATCCTCAAGTACGCGCGCCGCACGATCCGCGGCTTCAAGCTCGCCATGACCTCTCTCGGTCTCAGCTGTGCCCTGTTCCTCACGCAAAACGACGGCACGGTCATCGATGCCGATACGGTCGAGGGCTGTCCGATCAAGACTTTCTCCAGTGGCCCGACGAATTCAATGGCGGGCGCGGCGTACCTCGCCAACATTGAGAACAGAAGGGAAAAGTTTCCGAATTCGCAAGTCATTGTTGCGGATGTTGGCGGGACGTCGACGGACGCTTGTGCGCTGTAGGTTTCGGAGAGTTGGAGCCTGTGTGGTTTTGCGAGTGCTGACATCTTTGTAGGCTTCCCTCGGGATTTCCTCGCCAAGCCGGCACTTGGGTCGAGGTTGGGGGTGTTCGGTGCTCCTTTTCGATGCCAGAAGTCGTCTCCATCGCGTTAGGCGGCGGTACGAAGGTGGAGGAGAAGGACGGCAAGGTTCTCGTCGGCCCGGAGTCTGTTGGATACAATCTTCTCACCGAGGGCTTGGTATTTGGAGGCAGGACCCTCACTGTGACAGGTGCGTTACTTCATCGTATTCAAGCGCATGGTCGGACAAGATTGCTAATTCAGACTTGCAGACGTTGCCGTGGCAAGTGGAAAAGCAGAAGTCGGTGACAAAGAGAAGGTAAATAATGTCGACAACAGAATAGTGATAGAGGCGCGGCTCCGCATCAAGAAGCTGCTGGAGAAGGTCGTCGAAAGTATGAAACTGACTGCAGACGACGCGTTGGTCATTTTGGTTGGAGGAGGAAGCATCGCTCAC